AAAAAAAAAAAAAAAAATCAAATTTTTATTGTTTGATTAATAAACTGGATTGGAGGGGCAAAAGTGGGGTGTGTGGGGACACACCCAGCTTTGATTAGTCAGAAACTCCTGTTAACTGTGTACAAAATGTTACAAAAATCACGTAAAAAAGAGGGTCAGCAAAGCAGCAGCCTTAGGGAGGGCTCAAGGTTCCTGGGAGGCTGAGAAATGGGCCCAGCCTGGCCTCCGGGGTGTGGCTGTGGGGCTGGGGGCGACTGGGGGCCACCCGCCCTCTCCACCACCAGGCACCCATGCTCTCCTCCCTCCTCGCGTACAAATTGCTACGAAATCGCCTTCAAATGGGCATAAACACCACAGGCCAAGGCACTGCCAGAAATGCCACGGGCCCTGAGCTGGGCGCTGGGCACCCCCTTGCCCGGTGGCCCAGGCCTGGAGAAGGGACGCTCTTGTTGTCCGCCCCTAGAGTGCGGGCAGGCACGGGACCCCGGCGCTGGGGAGGGCCTCCGCTCCCCAGAGAGGCAGCGGCCGTGGGAGGTCCGAGCAGGCCGCCAGAGCAAAACACAGCCGGGGCTTTGGACAGTGCCAAGTCTGCGGAGAGGACCCACGGTCCTGTCCGGCCACTGCGGTGTGGCCTGAGTGGTGCTGTCGCGGCACGGTCCTGCGGGAGCTGCTGCCCCAGGCTGGGGCGCTAGTTGGGGTAGCACATGCAGCATCCTGTGCCTGCCGCCTCCACGCTGGCCTTGGCACCAGGTCCCAAGAGCCCGTCGGTGACAGAGTGCTCCATGATGATGTCCTCTACCCGGGTGATGTACAGGACTGTCAGCAGCACCCCCAGGAACTGAAGAGAAAGGGCAGGGTGGGCGAGAGCATGTGGGGGATCTGTATGGCCCTCTCTGGCAGCCCCCAACCCGGGCCCTCCTCTCCCCCTCCCAGGAAATCCCAGAGACCCTCCGTGCGCCCCATCAGCAGAGGCCCCTCCGCTCTGGGACCCCTGTCTCCACCCCGGCCATGCCCCTCACTATCCAGGGGACCTCGGGCAAGTCACTCAACCTTGCCAAGCCTGTTTCCTCCTCTGTAAAGTGGGCATGATAACAGCATCTACCTCACAGAATTGCAGAAGGCAGTGTCGGCGAAGCACTTGGAAGAGCTTTATAAGCAGAGCTACTGCCATTCGCACTCCCTTCCAGCCCTTTCCGCCCTCCAGGTGAGCCCAGACTGATGGTACAAGAGCGTTCTTCACCCCACCCCGTTGTACCTTTTCTGCTCTCTGTCACCACCAAGCCATGCTTTCTCCGAACCGACACCTTGCCCGCCACCCTACTTCCAGCTCCCCTCCCTGGGTGGAGGGGGGACCAGCCCACCTGGGGGAGCAGGATGCCCAGCAGGAGGCCCGCCATGATGGTGTAGTTGTCCATGAACCAGATGATCACGGCGTTGGTGCAGCCTCGCACGTAGATGACATCCTGCACGCTGAGGCGCTGCACAGGGAGGAGCCTGGCTGACACCTGACCCGGCAGAGCCCCAGCCCCCACTCTGCTGCTCACTCGACGTCCAGGCAAGTCCCTCCACCTCGGTGAGCCTCAGTTTCTCACATGCACTACGAGCAGGTGGCTCTAACCGGCGGGTCTCAGTGGGCAGCAGTGTTCCTTAGAGAGCACCGAGGACATTCTGGTGGCACTTCTGGGTGTCACGGCAGCTGGGGTCGGGGGCTGAGGGACTACGGAGCTAAGGGCGATCCTATCCCACAAACAACGGCCCTGTCTACCTGCCTCTCAGAAGTCCCCCAGGGGCATCTAGACGGCTGGAAACCCATCCATAATTATCTGAGCCAAAAGCCCAACTTCAGGTACTTATAAAAACCACAGTGTTTTCTGTGTGGTTTTACTGTGCACAAATACATAGTATACACACACACACACACACGTATGCTATATATAACTTTGCAGAAATACTACTATGTAGATTACAGAATGATTATACGGTATTTTGTCTGGAATCTTATCAAGAATTGTTCGCCATATTGGAAAAATAATGCCTGTGGTATACACGTTGCCACTCGCCCTGCCGGGGGTGTCAGCTGCCCCTGTGGTACAAACCCGTGACTGCTCTTTTTGAGTCTTCTGTTGTATCTCATGCCTGAGCATTTCCACGTGAAGTATGCTATAGGATTGTGAGTTGTTCTATTTCTCCTTTTATCTCGGATCCATCCCTCGTTCTGCAATTGGGTGTGTCGGTAGATTATATTATCTGTGGATTTCACTTCGAGATAATAACCAGGGCATTCCCACATGATTTCATAACACCTGGGCATCGGGTCTGATGGCTTGAGAACCTCTCCTAGTCTATGGCTCTCCAGCTGAAATGTGTGTCAAGCACCTGCTGGGCTCTGCCCCAGGAACGTGTGTTTCTGGCAAGTTCCCAAGGCTGCTGCCACTGCTGGCCCAGGGAACGCACTCCTCACAGGCACCTCAAGCCATCATGATTTTTAGCTCCCTCCCAACACCACCCCGGTGTCTCTCTTAGTCCCCGGAGTTGCAAGGCAGACTGGTGCTGAGCACGGCTGGGCACGTGGGCGTGCGGGGGGCACTGGCAAAGGCACGCTGACCTCACACCCAAAACCCACGGTAGGTGCTCAGTAAACACAGGCAGGCAGCCCTTCCCAGCCTGGGGGGTTCGTGGCTCCCTGAGTCCTTCTGTATCTGGGCACAGGTGGAAAATCCTGGCAGCACCTGACTCCTATTCACAGCCAGGAGCCCCACCCCCAGGAACCCTTCCAGTCACCCCGCGGGGGGGACAGGAAGAGCAACCTTTCTCAGGGAAAGAGATCCCAAAGACATTACCTCCTTGTCAATAGTTCTGTAGCCGCACATGGTGTTGACAACTTCTGTCTGAAACAGAAATGTGTATTAGCTGACACATAACGGTTACTGTACAAGACGCTATCAGTCTCCCCTTTTACTGATGAAAGGACGGAGGCACAGAGTCCGTATGAATGGAGCTGAGATTCCCTCCCAGGCCATCTGGCTAGAGTCTGCATCCTAGTCTCCCCCCCCCCCCCCCCCCCCCCCCCCCCCCCCCCCCCCCCCCCCCCGCCCCGCGCCCGCCAAGAGATGCCCAGGAGGAGGGACAGGAAGGTTAGTTCTGCGGCATGTGGGGAAGAGGACGACTCCTCCACCAGGGGCAGCCCAGGAACCCGGAGAAAAGCGTGCCGTCCCAGGCTCCCTTGCCGCCCCAGGGCCACGGCTTTGCGACATGGCCATACTCGGTCTCAGAGATGAGGGCTGGGCTGTTCTTGCTCCGCGGACTCTTACGAGGCAAAACCTCAGATGGCAGCCAGGACCCTGGCCAGCTGTAGTTTACCTGAGAACAAGGCTGAGGCCGCTGACCACACTTCCCTGCCCCTGCAGACCGCCAACCCACCAGCCAAGGCACCACCCGGGTGTTCTTCTGGGAAGAGAGTTGCTCTCAGGACAGGGAAAGCTGGGGTCGGCCCTGGACCCCCTCAAGCCCCTTCTCAGAGTCAGGACTGGCAGGGGCACATTCCAGCACTGTCTATGCCCCGTGCGGCCTCCTTCTCATTCTACAAAGTGACAGAAAGCTAGATGCCCCAGCCCCACCCTGTGACATCCAACTGAGAGCTGCTGTCGCTCAGGGCACTGCAGGTGGCAGCAGTGAGAGCAGGAGAGTGGCCTGGGCAGCCTCTGGCATCATGCTACCTGGTCCGGGTCTTGCTCTGCTACTTATAAGCTCTGTGACCCGTCTTAGATGGCGCTCAATCAGTATTTGTTGAATGAATGAATGAATGAATGAATGAGATTCCTTGGTGTCTTCGATGAAGCAATGGTGATCAGTAAACCCACCTCATGGGGCTGTTTTGACCATAAAGTGAGGTACACCCGTCAACGGCTTATCTCAGGGCCAGCCACGTGGAAGAACAAAAGGGATGCTGGCTGGAGTGACTTTGGACATGATCCCAGCCCCTGGAAGGCAAGGAAGGCTGTCAACTCCCCTTCCAAAAGAGCAGGTTGGACCGCAGGCCTCATCTCAGATGTCAGGACCTGGTTTGTGGGCAAAATAACCTCCCTCAGTCTAGACTGTACCCCAGGCGCCCTCTGATCCCAAACTGGCCAGCATCCACTTAACACAGGTCAGCATTTGTGGCTCCTCCAGGGGGTGAACATGACCCCCATGGAGAGGGTCAGGCCTGGGAAGCAGGTGCATGATAGAATGACGGGAATGATAGAAAATGGTAGAAAACACCTTACTTGTTCATTCATTCACTGAACAAATATTAACTGAGCACCTATTATGTACCAATCAATGGTCTAGGTGTTGGGAATGTAGAAGAACAAAGGAAAGTCCTTGCCTTCATGGAACTTATATGCTAGAAAGGGGGACCCACAATGAACATAATAAGTAGGTCATCTGCATGGTATATGGAAGGCAACAAGATTAACCACTTTGCACGGTGCTCCCAGCCCTGGAGGCATCGCCCCTGCCCTCAGGGAGCAGACATGCACCTGGCAAGGCCTCCTTTGCACCCACAGCCCCGACCCCTCCTCTGGACACGCCTCCCCTGCCAGGAGAGCCCCCTCCCCCGAGGGGTGGGGGGTAAGAGGCTTCCATGGCTCTTTCCAAAGGTAAAGCCTGTCTAGGTTTGAGCACAGAACCAGTATTCTCCAGAGCCTCTGCTGAAGGTTCGCAGGCCATGAGACCAGTACTTGGTGGCCTTTTCCATCCGGCACAGGGCCACAGACAGGAGGTCACGAAGGGGGCTTCTGAGCAGCCCAAAAATGAATGCAGCAAAGTTCACAAGGGTTCTTCCCAAGTGCTGCCTCTCACTCTGGCACAGGGCTGATGAGCTGGGGTACCTGGGGTCTGAGAGGCCAGGGGGAAGGGGGAGAGAGGCCTTGGGGGGACAGGCCCCCTAAGGGTAGCCAAAACTGAGAGGGCGGATATCTATAAACATGGGCCCAAGAGCTCAACAGGCACGGCAGTCTGAGGCCATTTAACGTAGAGGCAGAGTGCCCTCTACGCCAACCCAGGCCTTGGGGACATCACAGCATTACCAAATTTTACCCGAGTGATCCCTGTTGTTGTTTCCAGTCTCCTGTAGGAAGCCTTGTATAAGACATTTCTTTTAATGCTGAGAGCTAGGGGGAGAAAGTGACTTTCCCTGAAGAAGCAGCTCGCTTTCCTCCGTTGAACCTAACAATGTATATTATGTTCACGTCTCCCCTTTTCCTTTGGCTGCCAGGAAGCTCTCAACCACCAAGCATAAGGCTCTGGCTTCTGATTATTTTCAATTTGAGTTTTTTTCTGTGTATTTCCTGTGTGTCCATTCAGACCCGTGGCTAAATGAAATAGGGTAACATAAAAAGATCCATACACGAGTTCACACGCAGATTCTAGGAAGGAAGGAAACACCCTCTTTTCTATCGCGAGAGGAAAATCACGTGGGAGACACAAGGTGAGCCCACCAGTGGTTCTGTAATACAGGACAGAGATAGCCCAGCTGGGTGAGTGTCACCTCCCCACCTCACTGTTCCCGTCCAGATGCGGACTTGACACTTCGCTTCTCTGCAGGGTCTGTGTTGATATGCCCAGCCTGGACTTTTCCCCACACTCCAGACGCCTATATCCACCTGCCTCTTGGACATTCCTGCTGGAATGTCACCCAGCTCCCAAGCTCCGCCTGTCACACTGAACCCCTGATCCCCCAAACCTGCCTTACTGCTGTCCTTCCCTCTCAGGCAACAGTAGCCCCATCTTTCGTGTGGCTCAAGCCAAAATAAGGAGTCTTCCTTATTTCTCCCTTTCCCCCACCTCCCATATCTGAACTGTCGGCAAGTCTTGTGCAATTACGTGCAAAGCAAAGCCAGAAGCTGACCAGGTTTTATCACCTCCGCTATCATCGCCTGACTCTGAGCCTCTGTCTTCTCCCACCTGGTGGGGTGGGTGCTTCCCGGAACCCCTGAAACACTGCGAGCACAATCAGCAGGAGCCTTAGCTGTCAGCCCTTGTGATGATTGTTACGTGTCGTTAATTTTATGTGTCAACTTGACCGGGCCCGGGGTGGGGTGCCCAGATATTTAGTCAAACATTATTCTGGGTGTTTCTCTGAGGGTGTTTTTCAAGGAGATTAATATTTAAATCAGTACACGGAGTAAGGCAGATTGCTCTCCCTAATGTGGGTGGGCCTCATCCGATCAGTGGAAGGCCTGCACAGAACAAAAAGGCTGCCCTCCCCCAAGTAACCGAGAATTCTTCCTGCCCGACGAACTGCCCACCTGAACTGAGACACTGGCTCTTCCTGGCTCTTGAGCCTCCAGCCCTCGGACAGGAACTACCCCGTCAGCTCTCCTGCTTCTCAGGCTGTTGGACTCAGACTGGAGCTAAACCCTTGGCTCTCCTGGATACTCAGCTTGCTGACTCGTCCTGCAGACCTTGCTCTCGCTAACCAGCAACGCAGAGCCTGCTTCCCGGACAGCCTGACCTGTGACACACGGACCGCCCCTAATCAGACTCCCCATGTTCACCTCTGCCCTCCCAGCAGTCAGCGTGATCCTAGTAAACCTGAAGTCAGATCTGCCACTTAGCCACTCAAGCCCTCCATTTGACTCCTTGTCCCTCCAGGGAAAACCAAAGTCCTGACCGTGGTCTTCAGGGCACCCATGACCTCCCCAACTTGATCTGCTACTGTTCTCCCCCACACTCACTCTGCTTCAGCCACAGTGGTTTCTGTGCTGTTTCTCAAATGCACCGGGGCAATTCCCACCCCAGGGCCTTTGCATGTGCACTTCTCTGCCAGGAAGTGCATCCTCCAGATATGCATGGCTTACTCCTTCACTTCCTTCAGGGTGTTATGAGAACTACCTTCGCAATATCTAAAATCACAATCTTTCACGCCCCTGCTTTATTTTTCTCCTTAGCATTTACCACCTTTGAGGGTACAATCTGGCCCATACTTTATTGGTCCAGAACGTCAGTACCGTGCAGGCAGAGTTCTCCATGTGTCTACAGACCCCCAGGACCTCGAATCACATCTGGCACATAGCAGGTCCTCAACAAATATATGCTGAATGAATGAACACACGTAGGGCTTCCAGAGCTTGACGTGGACATTCAGGTGCCACTGCCCTATGTGACGAAGTTCAGGATCACCGCCCCCCCCGCCCCCACATACACACACAAACACAGGCTTCTCTGAAAATGCTGGGCTCTTCTCCAGCGCTCCCCCTTCCCAGAAAGCTACCCTAAAACGGCAGCTAAAATTTCCAAAAAACCTTCTCTCCTGGTCCAGGTTCTTTTTA